TTTTATTTTGTCGCCGGGTCAATTTTTTTCTACATCACATGACTTGAATCGTGTCTTGACGTCATCACCCTTCGCGGAAGTCGGCGCTGATGATGGTGGCCTCGTCAGTTTAGCAGCAGGAAGAGGATGTTTGCTTCCACCGAAAGAATAATATCACCCGATTACAAGTCTTCATAACAGAGCAAACCGCACAAGTTTTTCTCCTGTGACCCGCAGGACGGGGATTCATCGATCGCTCGCCCCCTGTGAGCCTGAACTCGGGCGCCGGATAACATGTCCCTGTTCCAGTCGGCACTGGATTTCCTAGCCGGGCCCGGCTCGTCCGGAGCGGCCAGCCGGGACCAGAATGACTTCGTCGGACAGATCGTTGAGCTCGGTGACATGAAACTGAGGATCAAGAGGGTGATCGCGGAAGGTGAGGCTGTGAATCACGACGAAAAAAATAAATAAAAATGTCGGTCACGTCTTGTCCGGCTCGGCATGCTAGCTAGCTGAAGTGGCTAACAGGCTAGCAGCACCTCTGTTGGTTGTCAATGGCAATAACGTTTGCAAGTGCAGCGCTATGAGTCACCGTGTAAACACCAGTTGATAATCGGGTTTCGAGGGTGTCTAACGAGCGGTAAATCGATTTCCAGATGTGCGAAGGGGATGAATGGACCGCTTTAGCTCGTCTCCTGCTTTAAGTCACAGTGATCTGCATGTCAGTCGTCTACCCAACCCGGAGTTTACTGCATACCTCAAACCTTATAATCTGTCTTGGAAGCATATTTGGCTCAAGCACAGACATCTTAGTAGAGGAGGTGGTGAAGCACGCTGCAGAGGTATCAGTGCTGACAGTGTTGTTACCTCTTACTTAACAGGATGGGTTCAAACTCCTTATCTCAATGTTATGTACACAAGCAGCCCTTTGTGAAGCTTGTTTCTGGTGACATGCAGGGAGAGATCGGTGCTGCTTCCTCCCTCATCCATCCTTTCATCTTCTTGTCCCCCTGTGTTTCTGTTTAGGACTGCATTTAGAAAAAAAAACTAACGAACCCCACAAGATTAATGTGATAACGAAGCTGTTTCTTGAGAAAGTAGTTTTTCCCCCATTTGATCCAGCACAGATCGACTTCAGTCTAAGATGTCGTGCAGTGACTTTGGTTACGTGTAAACCTGCTGATCAGGTTGCTTTTCTGTGGCAGAAAACAGGGATTCGTGCCCTCCATGCAAAGACGATCTTGCTGTTATACGGTTACCTACCTGCCACACAGCAGAAGATGAATGTTTGATGTCGATCTTTGTTTGTGGTGGGGTCTGATTAAATCAGGTTCAACCACAAATTGCAATTTAGATCAACAAACAACAAACGGAGGTTAAATCAGTGTTTTTCCATGACCAAGTACTTCACTGTTCACTGCCAACAGAGTTTCCAGCGTGCTCACATCAGCAGATCAGATTTTGTCCCATCTACTGTGTGACTAGTGGTTCACCTGCTCCATTTTTATGACATATATGATCCTACAACAGAAACATCAGAAGGTTTAATAGCTGCTTGCGTCACATTCTTGTTGATGAATCACTTTTAACAACTCTAAGGCAAAGTTGCAGCACCGTAGCTGCACTCATTTCGGATCAGTCCTCACAACTAACTCATGTCTTTTTGAGTAAAACAGTTGGCGAGAAAACTAGACTGACATCGAACAAGCTGGCAAGTCTCAGTGCAGCGTGCGCCCTTCAGTGTGACCCAACTCCATCTACCGTATGGAGAAACTGCTGAGTAATTCTGACAGATTGCTGCATCACCTTAAGTGTTATCGCTTTGTAATTGAAAATGTCCTTTTTTCTCTAAATGCTTGGTATTAAAAAATAAAGAAAAACAGGATTTTAGCAGGTTGGAATATGATCACAAATAACCCACTGTACTCACGTTATTCAACTTCCAGTGATATTAAAGTGAGACGCTGGTGCCAGTTAACAGTTTACATTCTTGCTTGATAGATGAACATTTACCTGATTAAAGTTGGCGATGCTTACCTTTATGTAGACATACTTTCAGCTCATTGTTGTGGCACAGCTTCCGCTCCAATCAGGAGTGTAATCACAGCGCTGGGACTCCACTTCCTCAGCCACGATAGTTGGCTTAAGAGAGGTCAAAGGCGACACAGAAGACTTCCAAAACCAAAGCAGATGGTAAAGGAAGAGATCGTTTTACACCAAAGCTCTGTCCTTTTCAAACTCCCATCCTGCTACGTGAAAGGTGTCTTTGTTGAATTCCTTCACCGAGTTCTGTGGTGAGAGAATACAATGGACGGCTGTAACCAGAATGTTCTGGGGTTTTTTTTTAGTGCTGTGATGATTTTTTCTCTCCGTTGCAGCAGCAGCAGTGTTCCTGTAATTATTTCACACAAGCTGCAAAATTGGACCCAAGAGACATTAAAGAATTTAGGGTGTGATTTAAAAAGGATTTACTCTTTTCAGTATGTTTCATTGAATGACTTGGAAATCAGAACAAAGGAAACTGAGCTGTTGAGATTGCAGCCCCTATCTGTCCCGGCACAGAGCATAGGAAGACATGTGATCTCCACGGGGACGCGTAGGCATCCTCAAAGTCAAGGCGTTACACATAAATCCTGTAACGGCCAGTGAATAATACACTTGTCTGATAGCTGGCTGTTCTGCTGTGTGTTTGTAGTGAAGTGAGGTATTTATTCAGCGTAAGGAATGGAACCAGAAATGCAGTAAAAGCATGTGCATGACTCTGTGGTTGCTGGTTTCGATCCAAAACAAGACCAGTAAATCGGGACAGGGGAAATGAAAGCCGCCGTGCACACCTGACCGGTCTTCCTTAGTGTTAAAGATTACAATCTTGGTCCTTCGGCGTTTTGCGGCGCAGACCGAGGCTGGTAGTTGATTTACTCGTCTCTATGGTAACCCGGCCCTCTCCTTGTTCGGACTGCTGAGCACAGACTTGATGAAACTTGAGGAAAACAAAGTGTCTCATCCACTAGCCACGAGTGTCTTTAGAGAAATTAAAAATTAAGCCAACACAACACTGGGACTGATATGACAGCTGGGCCTCTGTAGATCTGACACCCGTCGTTTAACATGGTTGTAAGAAGCTGTTGTTGTCTGACTGTCATTACCACTAAACTAAAATTGATCTGAATCTTGATTTCAGTTTGAATTTGATAAGTGCAGTCTGTATTATAATCATTTTTGTTGGACTGGGTCTTGTGTAGCTCAGATTTGTTCCATGAAACACGCTGTAATGAGGACATCGTGGTGCTCTGTAGGCCTCCGTTCTTTAAAAATGTATGGATTTCTCTGGAGCGCTCATCGTAGCAGGCTGAACTGATTCTCCCTGATAGACAGCAGCTCCCACCACATAATCAGCAGTTCAGGTTTCAGCCACACCTTAAATGAAAAGAAGTGGATGTTCAGCGAGGCTTGGTGGGAGCCTAAAGGTTCGAGGAGTCGGCTTGTAAAATACTCGTGTTTATTCTTCAGCGAGGCCCTTAAGCCTTCATTTCTCCCACAGATAGGACTGCGGTCAGGCTTCGTACGGCTTCTGGGCTTGAATGTTTGTGGGTTTTTAAAACAGGGGGATGCTGAAGTTTTTAGTGTTCTCTGCGGTCATGGAGTCAAACTTAATAAATCCAGTTTTCAGTGTGCTAAAGTGTGCCGTGTTTGTTTTAATCACTGCTCACAGTTACATCACAGCGCAGTATAATATCTATCAGTCATCATCTTAACACGTTACTGTAGAGCAATAAAGCCAGAACAAATTAAACGTAGAAATTAGACGTCATTTCGAGATAGTAGCCGCGTTAGGTGGCATTGCAACACGTCCTGCTCTGAATCACGCAAGTTACGCAACACGCTGAATATCGCTGATGACACCCAGTGACTCTTGATTTTCTTTTTCCTGTTCTTTTTTTAAGGTGGATTTGCCTTTGTGTATGAAGCCCAGGACATGAGCAGTGGTAAAGATTATGCCCTCAAGGTAAGATAAAGGTGTTGCCCACTGAGGAAACTCTGCCTGAGCCGGTCATTAATGCACATTGATTTTTTAATTTGCTCCTTTGTTAGTTGGCACGAGAGGGTCTATAAATGACACCCTGAGTCAGGATCATTGGCTCTGTCCTCGCTGATTCTGCATTCTGTTGTGCACACTTAATATGCAGTTAATACTACGTGTTATTAGTAATTATTTCTCATTATGCAAAATACAGTACGTACAACTGCGTTCAATCCTTCACATATATTTACCCTTTTCCCATTTCTGCATTATGCCACGCTTATATAATCAGTAATAAAAGTGGAAAACAATAATGTGAGCGTACCAATGTGAGCAGCTGCTATTTTCCAAGTCATATTGCTCAAGAAACAGTCTCTGACCACGTTGTTTGTTGGAGAGCGACGAGGCTGTGTGGGCTCCATCTGCTCCACACTCGATAATTCTGTCCACGTCGTGTGAATCCTCGTGCGTTTCTCAACTAAACATAACACGCTGACATTTCTTAACCGTTGGTGTACGTCTACATTGCCAAGTCGTAACGTAACTCAGGGAACTTTACAGAATAAAATCAAGACCAGACAATATCATAGAGCGAAGCCCAACAATTCCCCCCTCAAGCAAGGCAGGAAAAGTCGCATTTAGCTGGAAGAGATGTCAGACAGGAGCAGAGTCAGGGTGGATCAGGCTCTGTGTCTTCACAAGTTTGGGTGACAGAAGAGTGGCGAGAGAAGAGATGAGCACTGAGGAACAACCAACTATAAATTACTGGAGAGTTTGGTGGGTTTGGTTACTGCAAATCAGAAAGCTTCGGGGAGAGAGAGGACGAATGACGAACTATGAGAGACAAGACAAAGTTAATGACATACTGTCGTGGCATAGTCAGAGTAGAGGAGCTCAGTGCATCATGGGAAGTCCCCCAGCAGCCTCGGCCTATAGCAGCATAACTAAAGGATGATTTGGAGCCACCTGAGGCAGCATTAACATGAGCTAAATCAAAAGTGAAAGAATTTAGGTAAACAGATCCAGTGTTCTCTTGTCTATGACACTGCTGAACTCTAAATATTGTACCGTCTCAAAGGTCAGCAATTAACTGTCCACGCTCCAGCGCAGCACAAATGAATGATTAATGCCATGTTTGTATAGAAGAAACTCTTGAAGTGCTCAGAGAACTTAAACTACCAAAACCAGCAGGATCAGGTATAGTGTAATGATTTGGTTCCTCAGCGTGTTGTGTGTTCACAGCAGCTACGGCTGATGGAATATGTTAGTTCAGTCTTCATAGACGTGTTGCATGAAGAGGTAACGGGCAGAACAGAACAAACCAACGGTGTGTTTGCACGCTTTTGTTTCAGAGGCTGCTGTCCAATGAGGAGGAGAAGAACAAGGAGATCATCCAGGAAGTCTGCTTCATGGTATCCTTTCTGATTCACCATGAAAAGACGATCATCGTGGAGCGTTTCTGTTTCAGAGCACAGCGGGTGGTGACATGTGACGGAGACGAGTTAAACTCTAACTCGTGACTGCACAGGATCGTGGAACGCGCTTCCAGTCAAGTTTACTGTTATTATTAGATGAGCTGGAGTTTATTTTATATACAACACCACACAGTGCACAATGACACTGGAGCTAATGTGTATTTACAGTGTTTGATTACAGTATAGGGCTGCACGGTGGCTCAGTGGTTAGCACCGTCGCCTCGCAGCGTCCCGGTGAGGACACCCGGGATCTTTCTGCGTGGAGTCTCCATGTTCTCCCCGTGCAGTGTGGGTTCTCTCCGGGTTCTCCGGCTTCCTCCCACAGTCCAGAAACATCCATCCATCCATTTTCTATACACCGCTTAATCCTCATTAGGGTCGCGGGGGGGCTGGAGCCTATCCCAGCTGACTTAGGGCGAAGGCAGGGAACACCCTGGACAGGTCGCCAGTCCATCGCAGGGCCACACTTAGAGACAGACAACCAAGCACACTCACATTCACACCTACGGACAATTTAGAATCACCAATTAACCTCAACATGTTTTTGGACTGTGTGGGAGGAAGCCGGAGAACCCGGAGAGAACCCACGCTGCACGGGGAGAACATGCAAACTCCACGCAGAAAGATTCCGGTGCCCCCACCGGGACGCGAACCGGCAACCAGTCCAGAAACATGCTGAAGTTAATTGGTGATTGTAAATTGTCCGTAGGTGTGAATGTGAGTGTGCTTGGTTGTCTGTCTCTAAGTGTAGCCCTGTGATAGACTGGTTACCTGTCCAGGTGAACCTGCCTTCACCCTGAGTCAGCTGGGATAGACTCCAGCCCCCCATGACCCTGGTGAGGACTAAGGTGTAGAGATGATGGATTACAGTATAACACTGTGGACAACAAACACAGGCTGTTGTGTGTTTTGTAGCTCTGTCATTTGTGAATCTTTTCCAGTTTGTTTCTTGTTTTCGAGGAACCGACGATCAGAAAATGTATTATTCTAAAGAAATTACATTCATTGATTTGTTGTTTGGTTTTGGGTGGATTACATTATTTAAGGATTGTTTTGTGTATTTAAGGGGCGAGACACTGAAGCTTCGGCTGTATTTCAATGGCTCTGGTTTGTTTTATGGCGTTATGAGTCTGATATCACTGTTGTACAGGTGAGCAATGGTTGTTACACACTGTGTTGTACTTGTGTGAGCAGAGGCTAAGTGAAGCTGTATTCCTGGTTCCACTGCAGGCAGAAATACCGTTTGATGATGATAATTCTTAATTTTTTGGTATTTGCTTCACTCAGACCTGATTCAGCAAGAGTTTTAGAACAGACTTGCTCCTCCAGGACTTGCTTGGCTGGAAGTGTTTGGCAGATTTTTGGAGATTGATCCAAATCCACTGGTTTTAATGCCAAGTGTTACACACACTCTCTGTTTGATTGGTTAGTTTTGAACATGCAAAATACCCTCAAAAGCACCTGCTGAATTGCCCAGACTAAACTGGCAAGCTACAGGTAGAACCCACCAGCTTCTGTGACCAGACGTAGTCGCATGTTTTCTGTATGTTCCTTAACCTGCTGCCTTCATAGAAAAAGCTGTCTGGTCACCCGAATATGGTTCAGTTCTGCTCTGCCGCCTCCATCAGCAAGGAGGAGTCGGACACCGGACAGGCCGAGTTCCTGATCCTCACCGAGCTCTGCAAAGGTAAATACATGCAGAATTGTATTTATTATTGCGCTCCTTCCTCCGTCTGTTACTTCAGGGCTGAATCAGTGCTTACTCATTCATCTGACCCGTGTGCGGTAAATCAGGAGGCTCGCCGTCGTTTCTCAGTAACTTTAACAGAAGGCGTTTGTGATGAAAGCTTCCTGTGGCCTTTCTCCTTCCGTCTCCACTTCCTTTTTGCTCGGTTACAACAGACTTGGTTTTCATTCAGCAGTTTTTCGGCTTTCTAAGCAAAGAACGTGTTACTCACCACAGAAAGTGATTCATTATTGTCATTACTGGCGTGATACAAGCCTCTGCCTTTGATCTCCAGGCCTCCATTCATCCAGCTGTTTGTGTCTCTCGTGCCTCAGGTCAGCTGGTGGAGTTTATAAAGCGGGTCGAGCAGAGGGCTCCGCTGTCATGTGACACCGTGCTGAAAATCTTCTACCAGGCGTGCCGCGCCGTGCAGCACATGCACAAACAGAAGCCTCCAGTCATACACAGAGACCTCAAGGTTGGTGACGGGGAATAAACCCAATCGAGTGATTCAGTGGGACCATTTATTTTTCTTATCTCGTGCTGCTGCTTCGTTTTACTGGACAGCAACTGATAAGACTTTAAATAACGCCTGATTGAACGCTGTGTCGCTGCTTCCTCGATGTGTTGCAGATTGAGAACCTCTTGATTAGTAACCAGGGCACCATCAAGCTGTGTGACTTTGGCAGCTCCACCACGGTGTCACATTACCCCGACTACAGCTGGTCGGCACAGAAGAGGTCCATGGTGGAGGACGAGGTGCTCACACACACATTCACACACTCAAGCATCAGTTAAGAGTGATCTCAGCAGGGCCCTCGTTATGCAATATGCTCGTTATTAAAATGCCTCTTTGCTTATTTCGAGTTATTTACAGTTTGCAAACTAAAAATATCTATTTGGAAGTTCTTATATAAGTTCATTCATCAGTTCAGAAGTCACAGTGCATCATATTTACATCCCCATGTTGGACAGGAACCAGAAACCTCTGATTGAATTAACAGTGAGGCGTCCAGGAAGCACTGATCAATCAGGGTAATTATATTTATACCATAACCTCGTACAGACACACACGGGAGCTTTGCCACAGATGACCTCAGTATTCAGGACAGCAGAGAACCTGGTGTCTGAATCTAATAACCTACATCTCCACCAGGCACATGTTCTCGGGCTTGTAGCACAAAGCAGAAGAGCTTTTTTATGAAAGAAGACCTAAAGTGGAGAACCTGTTAAATGATTTTCTTACAGGCTGCTCAGATCTGTGTGTTGCCTGTAAAACAATCAGCAGGAAGATGTTTTTTCACAGGTTTTCTCAGAGATCAAAAACAACATTTGAGTTAGAGCTTGACTCTGTTTCTCTGTAGATCACGAGGAACACCACTCCAGCGTACCGAACGCCAGAGATGATCGATCTCTACTCCAACTTCCCCATCAACGAGAAGCAAGACATCTGGGTCAGAACTTTTTTCTTTTTTATAAAGTGTTTTGTGCACGTTTTTATAAAAGATTGTGACTTGACTATTGTCTTCACTGTGTCTGCTCTCCCTTGCAGGCCCTGGGATGCATCCTCTACCTGTTGTGTTTCAAGCAGCATCCGTTCGAGGAGGGCGCCAAGCTGCAGATCGTCAACGGGAAATACTCCATCCCTCAGAACGACGTCAAGTACACTGTGTATCACGAACTCATACGTGCGTACTGCGACTTGTCGGGTCTAGCTTCCTCGTGTCAGTTCATTTATTCATCCGCCTGTTTCACGCAGTCATCACCTTATAAGACTGTAGACGCACTGGGTATGCTGCCTTTGCTGGTTCCCACTGTGCCCCCCTTTCCATTCTGTGTCCATACATTAAACACAGAACAGCAAAGTGGGATAAGGGCGCAACAGTACCACATTGAAAGGACTGTGTGAAAGGGGCTTCTGGAAACACAGCATTCACATAACATTTGTGTGTCAGGCTTTAACAGCTCCATCTGGTGGACAGGACAAATCTGCAATGGTTGATGCAAAACATACACGTCTACAAAGCCATACAGTTTAGGTCTTTCTTTCTTTTTCACCTTGATTGTCGTGCATGTGATTAATAAGATTAATTCTTAAATTTTATAATTTTTGCAGGTATAGCTATGTATCATCCACAAGCATCACAATCCGTTTACACTGTAGCCGCCTTCTCCATTTCCATAAATACCTTTCTGTCTCCAGTATGTATTTATGTCTCTAACACACCTCATCTCCTCCTCCTCTTGCTCTTCAGGTTCCATGCTGAAGGTGAACCCAGAGGAGCGTCTGTCTATTACAGAGTTGGTCAACCAGCTCCAGGAGATAGCAGCAGCACGCAACGTCAACCCCAAGTCTCCCATTACAGAGGTAAGACTGTGCATGAGTGCTGCGAGAAAACAGCTTATGTGAGAAGTTATGCTGCAGTTAAACGTCTCCAGATCTTCTTCACTGTCAAGCAGCTGCACTATCTTGCACTTTACTAGACTAGTCATTGAGTGAAATAACTGGTGCCCTTGTGTTCAGGAGTGTGTGGCTTCTGAATGTCCCTAATCAATAAATGTGTATGAAGTAGCTTTGAAACCTAATCTTGAGTTCATCTGAAGTGTTGGCTGCCAGGTGAAGTGTTTCTGCTCCACTCGATAGCTGAGCGGTGAGGGCAAATAACACACAAATGCCCCGAGCGTCTTTGATTGGACTCCTGGTCATTCCCTTATTCTCTTTTCTCACGTTTCCCGTCTCTCTCCGCTTCCTCTGTGAAACAAAGGGTTGAAGATGCCCCTCCAAAAGTAGTTTCTGCTTCGGGCATCAGCTTTGAGGAGGTGGCAGCACTGACAAAGTGCACCGTGGAGTAAACAACTCAATAGACCGACAAACTGGGTCACGTCCTCAGCGTCTACCGGCCTCTGAAGAGGTTATTGACAGGCCGACCACACGGCTCCTCCGCGTAAACGTGAACACACACACTCTCAAATGACCGATGTGGTTACATAAAACACACCGACATGCACACATGATGGCGAGCACAAAGGCGTCTCTATTCTCTTCCTCGGGCTCCTCCTCTCTTCCCAGCTGGCATGATGCTAATGGGCCCAAAGAGACAGAGAGTCACAGAGGTGGAGAAGGGGTGAACTCCGATTCAAAACAAACGGGAAGCCATGCACACACATCAGTAGTAAAGTCGTTTTGATTTGCTTGTAGGGACAGAGAATGTCTTTTCTTAACTGAGCACAATCAGATTTAAGGTTTTAGTCAAAATGTTGGAACAGAGAATCATTTAAGTGGCCGACTATGACCAACTCAGCGCCCGCAGCCTCTTACGATTCTTACCACAAATCCACAAATCCTGCTACTTATCACTAAATCCTCAGTCATAGTTGTGATTTACATAAAGCTGATTTCAGTGTCAAAAATCTCCAGGTTTCCAGTGACTTCTCGACAACTTCCTGATCTGCAGCGCGATCGGTTTGTCAGTGGGTCAGCGTCACTGTTCACTATCCTGTTTCTGTTACGACTAAATACCTTTACATGTCTCACCAAAGAACAAATTAGTAAATTAACTCGGAGTTCTTCTATCTCTCTACAAATTTCTTACTAAGCTGAATCCTGATAAGGCTGCTAAGTGTGTGCACAGCGAAGGCAGATTTGGCGATTGCAAATCTGATTAGGGTTAAGAAGGGGTTTCCCTGCTAGACATAAGGAAGGTCGTAATCCTCCTCCTCCTCCTACTCCTCTCCTTTTCTGAAGCTCAGCACAGGCATATGGAGGCTTGTGAGATGGAGCAGAGAGGAGGGAGAGGAGAAAACCGGTGAAGGAAGGGAGCAGAGGTGGGAGTGAGCTACTGAGACGGTGGACATCTCAGAGGAGAAACGAGAGGCGTCGTGGCGGCTGTAACACAGACCCACCGATACTAATGGGAGGATTATTTCATCCTGCACATCTGACACAAACTATTTTTAATCTGCTGCAATGTGTCGACTTGTTGGAATTCTTCTGAGCTGCTGATTTTTCATGTCGGGACACTTGAGGATTTTTCTATCAGGATCTGTTTTTAATCGCTCCACTGATGAACTTTTCTATTTTTTAAAAGCTTTTTGTCTCTATAACTCTGATGACTTCCTTCTCTCCGTCTGTTAACCTCATCTCCGTCGCGACTCCTTTGTTAATATCTGTTTTTTAAAAATCACAGGCAGAATCTTCAGGTTTTATTTTTCTTTTTTAGCTGCTTATCTTTTCATTTTGTCGAGCTTCCTGTCACAATGTTGAGTACGTACTACTGCTGGCGTCCGGTGTATGACGGCTATGAATGTCTGCAGCTGCTGGAGCAGAACGGAGGGTTCGGCAACAACGGAGCGCAGCTGCCCATGCAGATCCACAACGTCCAGAACAACGCAGGTGAGAGTTTGTCTGCGCCGTGATGTTATGCTGTCTGTGGGTTTGGGACACAGCTTCAGTGTTGTGTGTAGTTTAGGGTGTAAGATTGGGAGGATAAAACAGGAATAGTCACCCTGTCCTCAGAAGTGAAATGGATTGATCTTTGCCTTCATAAGGGACTCTGATTATCCATTAATTTATTGTGCTGCATGCCAACAAACTGACAAAATAACTACAACTCAGAAGGAGCCACGTTAGTCGTATACATTGTGCCTTTTAGGTGTGACTGATTTCACCAGACTGCTGAATTTCTAATCAGCCACAAACACATTTTATCCCTAAGATGCCATCTACCATATCACTGACAGCCAAGCCGGCCAGTTCACCAGTGACCACCCGACTGTTAAGTCTCCTCTGAGCAAAAAGGGTCACGATCATCTGTCAGCGGGTCGGTTATTTTTAACCTCAGTGGTCCTCATATGTGTTAAACAGTGATCCTGAGAGTCTCTTCATGTGGACTTATTGGATCATCATCAGTGTGGGGGAGATGACTTAGTCACAATTAGATTTCTTGCTCATAACAGAGCCGCTCGCTGTCCGCTAACTGCTTCCACGTCTTATCACATTATCCCCGTCACTCACTAACACACTGACCTTGGGCATGACCCTGAGGCCAACAAGTTGACGTATAGCTTGTATAGGAGAGTGTGATTTACCACCCTGCTGTAGCGTATCTAAAGCAGACAGAACAACATGCAAAAGGAATCGCTTATTTCTCCGTGCTTAGGAATGAGCCTTTTTATTTCTAGAACCAGCTGAAGGTACTTGAAGGTAAAAACTCACATTTCTGTTGTTTGTCTGTACACTTCCCTACACGTGAGCACAACAAGCTTGTTATTTTCCGATGTATACACACACGAGCTACCAGACACACACGCATTCAAGCTGTCCATTAAGAGGATTGCTGCTCCGCCACTCAACCATCTGTCCGAAGGCAGAGTGTGTTTGCTCTTTGCCTTGAGGAGCGTCTCTGACTGTTGCTCCAACGTCATGCTGCTCCAACACCACATGAAAGAAGTTCATTTTCTCACATGCATTTAAGTTCAGAACAGTCGCTTTGACCCTTTTTATATGATCCAGTTCTTAACGTCATTACGTGTTTGTGTGCGATAGTTTGTGATTAGTTTGCAGCCACATGCACAGCTGAGCAATATGTGTTTTTCTTTTCTTTTGAGGTATCATTTTATAACTATTTCATTTTAAAATCTAAATATTACAAACCTTACACGTTCCTGGAAAGATTCCTGGAGTCTTTTTGATGTGGGTGAAACAGATGATGAACCATGATTTCACGCCGTGACAGTTTGTTTAAATGTCATATATTTAGCATTTTCTGTTTTTCCTCACGATGCCTGCAGGCGTGTACGATCCCGATCAGCCAGGCGGTGGCCTCTTGGACATCTTAAGGGGAGGAACGGAGAGATTCCTGACCAACATAAAGGACACGTCCTCTAAGGTCATCCAGTCAGTCGCCAGGTAAGACGGTCCCACCTCGTTAACGGCATTCTTCTGTTTGTTCATGTTCTTTTTTCGGTCATCTTCGTCACCATTAAAGCTCAGCAGACACTGGTAGTGCTTCGTTCATATAACTTGATTAATGTTTGTTTTTTTTCTCACTGCGTAACATAGACGTTAATCGTCGTATTTATTATTACGTGCTTTTGTTAAAATGAGGAGTTGATGGAAGATTTTGTTAAATGTTCCGTCAACTAAGTTTAACTAACTCTCTGAACCCAAAGCGAGTTTCTGGGCGTTTTCTAGTCGTGTCACATTCTTACTCATCTATGGCCTCATTTTTCTCTGCAGCGTTCAGTCCTGCACCCAAACAAACAGAAACAACATGACTAGAAGCAGAGAGAACTTAAAAAATGTTTTCTGTCACAGCTGCAATACCAGAACTCAGAAAAAGAAAAATACAAATCGTTGATTACTTTTTTTTTTTAACAGAAGCTGAAACAAACTAGTGACTCTACAAGCCAGAGATATTTTGCTGTTTACATTTTTAGTTTGTTTCCGAATGTCTACCTGCTCTGTGTAGACACAGCCTGCAGTGCAGCTGAGTTTCTGTCACATGACTGTTGGTCGAAGTTGCTTCTGGAAGTGCTGCTTTTACAGAATTTACTTGGAGCAAATGGTTTATTTTGCTTTTTCTAAATGAGACGTGTTCAGTACAATTTGTTGATGAAATTTCAGTTTCCCATCATGTGACACATGTTTATTATTTAGGGACCATCAGGTTGTTGAAAATCTGGCGATTCTCTCTGTTTGTAAAGTTTCTGGTGAAATAAATTTTGGGCAGTTTTTAAAAACACGACATGCATTTCAAACCCGTGAGCGAGGCTTTGGGGTTCAGAGGGTTAACAGAGCCACCACCATCCTGCTTTGGTACTGCTAACTGAAGAATGTAGTTCAGTGGAGGTATGTGCTTTGGTCCTGTGAGGAATCTAGATACAACAACACTTATCTCAGCAATGCTGTTTGTCAGCTGTCAGCCATCGTGTTTCATCACTCAACCTAAAGTTAATGTAGATTATTGTAATCCTGCTAAACTGTCTTTGTAAGTGCTCACACTCTCCTCCTGTCCCACCCGGCTCCCAGGTTTACCTTCTAAAAGGAACATTTTGTCGTCTGCTTGTCAGACTGCAGTTACGACTCAGCCAGAAACAGACAAACCTTATTTCAGGTTGTCTGTCTTTGTAGATCATTTACAAGAGCAAACCAGAGGATTATGGGAGTAATCTAACCTGCAGCACTCACCTGAATCATCCGGTGACGTTTGCAATGATTATTACTGAAAACCAGCAAAGTGTTCCTTTAACAGGCGCTCGGTCCACATCTGTTAAAGTTCTGTTTCATTTGGTTGTTCGATCATCAGTTTGCTCCATTTGTTTGGTCCTTTTGTTTATTTTTTTGTTGTTTCTTTTCTCTGTCCCAATCCCTCATGGTCCCACTATGTGTCCATCACCTAGCAACCCAAGGTAAATATGGGTCGGCGGTGAAACGCGTCAACTCATGCGTTACTCTGTGTGTTCTGTAGTGTGTGTTTGATTTAGAGGAGAAAAAAAACACCACAACAACAACCCTGTACTAAGCCCTGTTTTGCCGTGCTGTGTCTGTCATCACAGCTTGCTGATCCTAACATCACACATTCAATAATCCCGTCGAGTGAATGCAGAGCGTGATGTGGACGGACAGATGAGTGTCATGTATGAGCAGAACGATGAATCTAATTCCCACTAATCACGCCTCGGGTAGTTTTTGGGCCGACAGGTTTGAGGAACGTTCAAACTAGAGTCGGTTTATATCAGACAGCAGTGCAAGTTCTACGTTCCTCCAAATTTTGGCAGAATTTAAGTAATCTAGGTAAAAATAAATCTTGATTCTTTTCGGTGCATGTGCTATAGGAGTCATTTAATTTGTACATTATAGTCATGAAAGTGTTAAGAAACATTTAGGCTACTGAGGCAGACGGCGGCAGCCGATCCGATCCGATCAGATCAACTTAAGCAGCCCTTCCTTGATACCTTGATTCATTTAATCCATTCCATTATTTTTAGCTAACTGTTTAAACTGTCTATCCAGTGCTTTTAACCATTCTACGACTTTAAACTATTTCATTCATTACTTTAGCAGTTTAATCCCATTTTTCCATCTGTTATTGACACATTAATTTAAGCTCTATCTATTTTAACCACCACTGTTAGAGAACTAGATGAGCTGTCTATTCATTACTTTTATCTGCACTTTTGCATGCAAGCGTTCACATATATTCAAATCACATATAAGATGTTGTTAGTTTATAGTTCATGGACTTTAAACGGGACATGTGAGATGCAAATGTTTGGGTCTCAGAACTTTTATTGGCTTGTTCTTCTTACAAGATCTGAATTGTTCTTGTGAAGAATAAATCCTCTGATTCTTTGCACCTTGTGGAAACACTGAAGCATGAGCTCCTCTAAGTGAAGGGGATGAGGGGAACTGATGCTTACGGTGCTCCCAGCTGGAAACTTTCTGAAATGCCACAAAGAAACGGCGCTTAAGAGAACCTGTAGAAGTGAGGAGGAGATCTGGAGGACAAACACGTCTGCACATCTCACTACGACAGAACAGCAGGAAGGTTTAGGCGACACCAGAGTCGTGATGTTGACTCTGCAGCGCTGAATGGACGAGGAAATGATTTAAATATTTGCAGCAAGCATGACCTTTTATTTATTTTTACTTAAATAAGCTGCAGTATACAACATTTCCCCAGAGGTGCCCCAAACTTTGCATGCAACTGTTTTAGGTTAGTATTTAACCAGTTTGCCTTTATCTCTTTTAACTAACTGTTCTCATTTTCCTGCTTGTTTACTGACTAGTTTTTATTAACGTCTTGTTTTCAGGTGTTTAAACCGACTCAGCATGCCCGTATTCCTTTAATCCAAAGAGTAGTTTGTACAGCTACAGCCTTTCCACACACCCTAAGACATCTTCATAAATACCCCCGTAGATAAAACGTGGTTAGAAACCGCCGTCCTCTATGAAGCGATTGAATGAATGAGTGAATGAATGAGCAGTAGTGTGAATATGGCTCCACTGCATACTAAATTCAGCCACTTGTGTGTCTTAACCAGCGTCACCTGTGTGTCCTGATCCCATACAGATTATAAATGTGTCTGTTACCTCCATAGTTAGCTCCGTTTCTTTGCTTGGCCTATGTTTGTTTTGTTTTTTTCATCTGTCCATGAATTTGAATCTGCCGTAGGAACCGTGCTTCTGTTGTTGATTATATTTGCTCCAGTGAAGCCTAATTTCTACATCACTTAACTGCCAATGCTGCTTACCGCCAAGGAGCTATTGGCAGCGATGAGTGTTCCCACGTGACAGCAGGCATCTGCCAGATGCTTGTGCAACGTTAGAGACACAACAGAAAGATGAACTGGGGATTGTCTTAATCTAATTTGTATAATTTGTAGGACACCCTTCATCAAAACTGGTTCAAAACAAAAATTGGGTATCGAGCCAAGCAGCCCAGGAACCGATCATCCTTCAACATTTTGCTTTCAAACCCAAAGTCACATTAGTAGCACAAAGCTTTCTTTGTTTTCTCAACCAGCTTACGCCATTAGGCTGTTTGTTAGCGGCTGTGCACAGTCTCCCACACGTTAATTTATTCACCCTTTGATTTCTTCTCGTAGTCACTGATTTGTGCTTGTTCCCCCCTCCTGTGTAGCGTCACTACTCATTTTATAAATTGGCTTGTAATTTCTGTTCCAGCTATGCCAAAGGGGACCTGGATATTTCATACATCACCTCCAGAATAGCAGGTGGGCATTAAAACTCCATAAAACCCTGGTTAACATGGTGTTGCTGCATTAATCATTCTGAATTACATGATGACGACAACGCCATGAATGTCCCTGTTCAGAAAATAATGTGACATCATATCTTTGAGAAGGAGATAAAGCTGTAACGTAGCCCTGACCGATGTGTTCATGTGTGTGTGTGTGTGTGTAGTTATGTCTTTCCCGGCTGAAGGTGTGGAGTCGGCGATAAAGAACAACATCGAGGACGTGCGTCTGTTCCTGGACTCGCGTCACGCCGGCCACTACGCCGTGTACAACCTCTCCAAGCGCTCGTACAGGCCTTCTCGGTTCCACAACAGGGTATGAAGCGTGTCTTTGTGGTGGAGGGGGGTTGTCTCAGTGTGGCAAATTAACCAAAGGAGAATGATATAGCGGTGATGTTTACTTTCAACAGCCACAGCGTCTCTGATTCAGTTAATTGCTACGATATCTGCTGCTGTTGTAACGTGTGTCAGCACCAGCGACTGAATAACGTCAAAAAATTCGCTTTTTGTTCAGAGAAGTGTCGTATTCTCCACTGCAATGTAGGAAAATGCTTATTGGGGCAACTTTTTAAAAAGAAAAATCAATCCTACATTATACATGCATGCATCAGCAGCAACTGTCAAACTGTTGGATGCTTTTTTTTCACACTCTGCACCGAGATTTATTACTGGTTAGAGTTACAGCATCCATCACTGTGAGCTGTATGCTGGTCCTCACTCTCTGAGGCATCACAGACACTGGGTGACGTTACCTCGTTACCGTCTTGTAATGTGGGCCTTGACTGGACTAAGCTGCAGGTTTCAGCTGTTTTTGCTGAACTTGGAAATCTGGTTTTATTCTGCGTGCACCTCCAACATGGAATAACTTCTTTTTATTCATTGGGCAATTCAGGTTTTTAATTTCAACTCCCAGCTGCTCTTATTTTGAAACTTTAAATGCAATAATCAGTGTTTTTGTTTTACTAACTTCACCTTTTGATATTTAATTCTTATGCACCAACATCTTTATTCTGTTACTCGTTTACATTGTAAATGAAGCCTTCATGCTTCAATGTACTTTTAAATAAAGTTTCTGATGGTGACTTTATTTCACAAAGTAAGCCGTATTCAGATGTGGATCTTTGTGTGTTCGTGCAGGTGTCAGAGTGTAACTGGCAGGTGCGCCGCGCCCCCAACCTCCGCAGCCTCTACAGCGTCTGTAAGAACATGCATCTGTGGCTCAAACAGGACCAGAGGAACATCTGTATAGTACACTGTCTGGTGAGTCGGTCCCTCCTGCGACTTCAGTTGATGATACACAGAGAAAAAAGAAGAATAGCATGAATCTTAACTCTGTGTTTCTCTGTGTAGGACGGCAGAGCAGCGTCAGCCGTGGCAGTTTGCTCCTTCCTGTGTTTCTGTCGCCTCTTCACCACAGCCGAGGCCGCCGTCTACATGTTCTCAATGAAGCGCTGCCCGCCTGGCATTGCGCCCTCACACAAGAGGTATGAAAACACACAGATTATGAGGTGTAGAAGAGGAGGCTGGCTTGAGGGCTACTCAGTTTTTACCTCCTCCTGATGTGCATCGTGTTCCATCGTCTACATCTCGCTCTGCTTCTCAGGTACATAGAGTATATGTGCGACATGATGGCAGAGGAGCCCATCATCCCTCACAGCAAGCCCGTCATCATCCGCTCCATCACCATGACGCCCGTGCCGCTGTTCAACAAGCAGCGTAACGGCTGCAGGCCCTTCTGCGAGGTTTATGTTGGAGACGAGAGGGTGCTCACCACATCGCAGGAGTACGACAAGATGAAGTAAGTCGTCGCACACAAAAGGGTGACCTGTCAGGCTTCCCTTTTAGTTAAACAGTCTACAAAAACAACATCACATCTGACTTTGTCTCTCTTTTCAGGGATTTTAAGACAGAAGATGGAAGAGCAGAGATTCCCCTCAACGTTACCGTTCAGGGAGATGTGCTGGTGGTGATCTATCATGCCAGATCCACGCTGGGAGGACGTCTGCAGGCAAAGGTAGAGGCTGGACTCTTCAGGAGCTCGGAAGCTGCTCTGTTGGGCTCATTGTGTTGTATTCATAATGTCGGATAGACGATAGAAGCCACAGTCAGTTACCGATGCACATTCTAACTCAATTCTGTTTCAGATGGCGTCCATGAAAATGTTTCAGATTCAGTTCCACACAGGCTTTGTGCCCAGAAACGCCACTACAGTCAAGTTTGCCAAGTACGTATAATGCCTTAAGCCACGACATACTGCTGAGAGTTTCATTACTGCTCGATTGTACTGACTGCTGTTAAAATGATGCTTGAACTCTTACAATAGCATTAGTAGTAAGAAGGGCTGTGAATCTATAGCCAAATGTTTGTAATGTGCTTTTTTCACATGTTTTTCTTGTTGTTCTCCTTCCAGGTATGATTTGGATGCCTGTGACATCCAGGAAAAGTATCCCGACTTGTTCCAGGTCAACTTGGACATCGAGGTGGAACCCAGAGACCGACCCAGCGCCAAGACTCCTCCGTGGGAGGGCTTCCAAACCAAGGGCCTCAACCCCAAGATCCTTTTCTCCTCCCGTGATGAACAGCAAGAGATCCTCAGCAAATTTGGTAGGTGGCTTTACTTTGCAAGGTTGTGGGATTTGAGGTGTTCAGCGTTGGTTCAGTTTGGTTTTCTCAGCATCTCCATGCATTCATTCATCCATTTCTTCATTTGCTTACAAAACATCCTCTTCTGCCCTCAAGCTCATTCCTTCAGTTTTTCTGACTGACTTGTCCTCAGTGAACTAAACGTTGACCTTAAATCCCTGCAGGTAAGCCCGAGCTGCCTCGTCAGCCCGGTTCCTCTGCATTTTATGACTCAGAGTCGCCCCAGCCAGCTCAGACCCCAGAAGGTTCCAGCGCAACAGAACCAGAATCTCCTATGAGCAACGACACCAACGCCAGCAACTTCTTCCAGACTCTGGACTGGGAAGGTATTTAGTTTGTGTTTTCTTGTCTTTGAAACACATTTGCTCCGTCATCTATATTTATAGAGTTAGTGTTCTGATTATTACCCTCCGTTCTAAAGAAGAGGACTGGGCTTTTAGTTTAGTTTCTTTCTTTCATCTTCTCAGAAGGAGAAAATGACCCATGAGACACTGACTGATTCCAAAGGTTCAATGCCATATGTCGACTGACCAACTTTTTGTATTTGTAGATGTGCGTGGCCATCAGGATGCCTCAGACAGCCAAGGAGGAGGATCCATCAACGACCAGGAGGACCTGAGTGACCAGTCAGAAGGAGAGTCCTACTCTTATTCTGCTCCCAGTGGAGAACCGCTGTCAAGAGACAACAGTGAGCCGCTGTTTGATGCTGACTTCCAGGTGCGGATTATCTCACATTAAGCCGTCAATACAGTGTGAACTCCTTCACCTTGAACCCTGACAACAAACCAGAAACATACCACTTTCTATTCTTGTCCTGATCTCCCCTCAGGCCTCCCCTCCCGCCCCGCAGGAACCTCCCCTGGGCGACACAGCGGACCTCCTGGGCTTGAACTCTGACCCTCAGCCTCCCTCCATGTCCTCAGCCGCCTCCGCTGCTGCTCATCAAGGAGAGCAGGGAGGAATGAAAGCTGCCTCCAGCAACAGCGATCTCCTCAATGACCTGTTTGCGCCTCCTGCTGGTCAGACGGGAGCAGTGCAGGAAGACCTGTTCTTCAGCGGGTCGACCAGTGGGGCCACACCGGACTCAAAACGTGAGAGCCTAATACGTGCTCATTGCAGTTATAGAGATGTCATCCAGTTATCTTTAATACCTTACCTCCCTGTTGTTTTGCCTGCGTTGCAGCTATGGGCGACCTGTTTGACCCGTTTGGAATGGGCTCCGGCTCTGGGGTCGGCTCCAGCGTTGCTTCGTCTCGACAAGCCTCTGGGCCGGACCTGTTTGGAGACTTGTTGGGTTCTGATAGTTCAGCCACCAGCGGATTTAGTTCAGCTCACAGTAACGCCACTCCTGCTTCCAACACCAGCCTCTTCAACCTCAGTAAGAGCATCTGCTGCTGCCACGTCTTGTTGTGTCTCGTCTGTCCTTTCCTAGTCGAAAGGAGCATTTCAGATCCCATGTTTTTTTCGTGTGTGCAGCGTTTGTTGTTAAGGATGTTTACAATTGAGTTGCAGATATCCATAGTGTGAATTACGGATATCTGGAGCGGTTGTAATTCCAGTTTCAGGTTCTACAGATTAATGCTGACTAGTCAAAATTACAGTTAAACATATTTAATTCCTCTAAATTCAAGATCTCTACATTGTTCTAGTTAATTGCCTTTGATTAAGTTTGAACTTGTCAGAATGCTGCTGCAGATACTGGAATCAGAATGTTGATTTAACAGATATCTGGCGTTACGTCAGAAGCTACGGCAAGTCGGATGCAACTCAAACATACCTCACATGAGAAGCCTTTTTACCTTCATGTCTGAGCAGCTTGAAGCAAAAGTTCTCATAAATTTTGACCGCTAGTCTCTGATGAATACTTTGTGTCGTCACAGATAAGCTCGTGAATGACGTCCCAAAGATGACATCATCAGCCAGCCAGCCCGACCTGCTGGGAGGGTGGGACAACTGGGCGGCCGGCACCACCGCTGGCATGACCTCCACCGCCAGCAAGCCCAACTACACCAACACTGGTAGGTGGAGGAACATGACTAGAGCGTGCTAAATGTGTGGTTTTGTAGAAATCCTAAAAGTTCTAACTCACATGTTGTCACTATGGTTGCAGCTTCTGGAGTTTCATCCATGTCAAAGGCCAAGTCTCAGACCTTTGATCCTTTCGCTGACCTCGGAAACCTCGGCTCCAATCTACCAGGTGAGAAACCAGGTAAAGATATCGAGCAGCGACCCAAGAAGGGAAACTTGAATTGTAAACTCCAAATCGTACACATTTACAGGTAACCCTCATCCCTCCGTGTTTTCTTGCAGGACCCTCCAGCAGTAATTATTCCGGGACTCCCTTCAGCGCTAAGGGTCCGTCTTCCTCTGCGAAGCCTCAAGCTCAGCCCTGGCAGTCCGGAAGACCCGCCTCAGCCCAGAACAAACCTTGGATGCACGGATCAGGACCCGGATCTGCGCCCAAGCCGTCCCCGGCGTCTCAGCCTGCAGGACCGCAGCCCACCAAACCCAACTACAACCTCAACTTCTCGAGTGTCATCGGTGGGAGAGAGGAGAGAGGCGTTCGCGGGCCTGGATTTGGTAAGACGCTGAGTAGAGAGGGGGGACACGCTGCTTTTCATTAGCTTGGAGTAATGCATGGACACTATAGCGCTGGAAACTTTGGAACAGAACAACATTGAGGACATCAGAACTCTTGAATACATTGTGCTAGAATGCAGAAGATGGTAAAAATCCATTCAGTTGATGTGTCAAAGTGTTGGACTCATACTGTTTTCACCATCTCCACGTCAGACCTTCATTTCTCTGTGCTGCTGTGTCACAGGCCCCAAGCCCAAAGTGAAGGAGGACGATTTTGAGGACCTGCTGTCAACTCAGGGTTTTGCTTCCAAGCTTGATAAAAAGGGACCGAGGACCATCGCTGAAATGAGGAGACAGGAGATCACAAAAGACATGGATCCTCTGAAACTACAGGTAATGAGACATGGACGGGATGTTTGACAAATAAAACCCACACAGAACCAGATCCAAGGGAAGCAAATGCATGATAAAAAAGTGTTGATAAAAAATGTGACTACTGAGTAAATCCCTGTTGTCGACTGGTTTATGCACCAGATGATTTTACTGGAATAAAATTGGGATTCTGAGTCACATAGTTCTTTCCGTTAAGGGTTGATTCAATTGACCAATACGGCACCTTCTGGCAGGTGATCCTTGAGCTTCACCGTATGAAGCAACTTCCAGGTGTTGACCAGAGTTTATGCCGTCTTGAACGTTTTGCTGTAGATTTTGGACTGGATCGAGGGGAAGGAGCGAAACATCCGGGCGCTGCTGTCGACTCTGCACACGGTGTTGTGGGAGGGTGAAACCCGCTGGAAGCCCGTCGGCATGGCGGACCTGGTGACACCGGACCAGGTGAAGAAGTGCTACAAGAAGGCGGCGCTGGTTGTCCACCCAGACAAGGTAGAGTATCCAGAATCAAGCTGGTCCCACACTGAGCATGGATCAGCAGAACAGCAGTTTTTAGCATGATTTGCAAATACAGTCGTGACTCGATAATCGACCCTTAACAATCCTAAACCTGCTATCTGACAGAACCCATAAAAACAGCCTTAACATAGCGACAGCCTTGGATTGTGACTCCGACATGACATTTAATGTCACCAATCAGGATGACGGCGTATTATCTGACTGAACAATCCCACAGATTGGCTACGTTCACACTGCAGGACTTGATGCTCAATGAGGATTTCTTTGTGACTTCCTTCACGTTTCCACTTCAATGCGACTTGTATGTGATCTGCTGTGTGAACTTCATACGAGCCAAAAGTGTCCCGCATGCGCAGAAGAGGACACGACGACGTCACACGCAGCGAGCGTGCTCAGTGTTTACGGAAGTAAACATGGATGGTAACGGTGGAGCGTATCTGCCACTCCCCCGCCGCCACCGATGGAGGAAACAGAAGTGTGAGCGCTAACTAAACTAGCATCAGCAGCCAAGTACTGCCTGTGTGTTCTGGACACTTCCACCCCGTCAGAGCGCTGCCCCGGGGTGGAAGGGTCCGTAACGAAATCACACCAGCCAGTTAGGCTGAAATCCAGCAATGCGTCGTGTTCTAACAATACACTAGTTATTATAACAACTATGAACAATAATGAACAACTAATGAGCCTTCCAGCATCAAGCCCTCCTCGTATCTGGACCTCCGTCTGGACAATCCCACAGCCTTGATATCCGACATAAAAGAAGGTTTTACATTTAGCGTCAGATCATCAAGTCACGACTGTACTTGTAACTGGTCTTTACTGGTCCTGGTTCTGGGATAATTTTCCAATCTGTGCTCCGTCTCCCTGCAGGCAGCAGGCCAGCCGTACGAGCAGTACGCTAAGATGATCTTCATGGAGCTGAACGACGCCTGGTCAGAGTTTGAGAACCAGGGATCCAAAGCACTCTTCTAAAACCCTGGCCGGGATCCCAGCTAGACCAAACCAGACCGGATTGGACTGGATTTGGCCTAACCAAACACGGGGTTAGACTGGGCCAGATTGGACAGGACTGAGCCCACATTGGGCCTTAGGGGGCGCAACAAGCCTCTGAGAGGTGTCCTCTCTACCATTCCCTCCCTCCTTCTTTACTTTCTTCTGTTTCTACAGTCAACGGGAAAACAAAAAAACAAAAAAAAAAAAGACCTTTTGCCTCACGTCTGGCTGCGGTGAAACTTTCCTCACGTGTTCACGGACAGCCGGTGAAACAAACATCGTGATCGTTCTTAAACTCACTGCCTACCTGTGTGACTGCCTGAGTGGTGCTGCAAACATCGGGAGGGAGGAACGGGTGACAATCACCGTGGAAACCAGAAAAATACAAGGACTTTTAAAGTGATGAGTATTGTGACGTTGTGTGTTCAGATCCAAACAGACCCGACAGTAGCGGCTGTGGCTGGTGGGAGGTTTCATTGGGACTTGTGCTTGTCCTTCAGCTGACCGGTAAACTAAACCTGAGCATGGCTGCGGGTCGTCCAGCATGCCAGCCGACACGGAAATTTGCAAAATATCGTTTAAAAGTTGCATTTTTAAGCTTAAAAAAAAAAAGAAAAAAGGCCTGTGAATTTTGGAGCATCCCAGCCACAGCATCGATGAATGAAACCCTGCCTCTGATGCAGAAGCAGGAAGTAAACCTTCCCATGATTCTGAAAACAAGGCGGACATGTTGAAAGTACCCATTTGAAGTGCTGCTGCTGCACCTTTGGCCGTCGGGCTCGTTCCCTCTCCAGAGTGTCGCCTGCTGAACACTACTCGTGCTGCTTCTACCGTTACAGTCATTGCTGCACAACACTCCTCAGATCGATGTTAGAAAACGTGCATCCAAATCTCCTGTCGGACCCTCTCCCGTATAGGTCCCAAAGCGGGCAGTCGTGGTTTTTTTTTTTCTTTTGAAGTGCTCTTTTAATTCCACCCACTCGGGCTGCACCGTGTAGCTCGACTGCATGCTCTCTCACCAGAACCTCTGAACAACAGGAGGTGTGTGTTTCCGAACCAGGGTAGTCCCAGCGGGCTCTGTTTAGTGAAGTGCTCCTTTTCCTCGTCGCAGAGAAGAGTCGACCTGCTTGGTTTCTCGCTGGGTGGCAGATCGAAAGTCTTCCCGAGCATCTCCACCGCCGCCGTAGCTGTTCACTCTCTCTGAGCCCCACCCAACTCCCAGGTTTTTTTTCTTTTGTCATAGTCAGAGGTGTAAAAAGTGAAGGACTGAAAAGAGAACACGGTGATTTAATCTGGTTGGTTTTATGTTTTTCTGGTATTATTTGGGGGGAGGAGGGGTTAGTGTTAAGCTGTTTGTCTGTTAATCATCGCTTCAGTGTAAATATGAAAATCTGATCATCCATCAAGTGGCTTCGTTAAGATTAGACGGCTGATTTCTGCTATTGGTTGTGAGTGTGTGTGTGTGAGAGTGTGTGTGTGTGTGTGTGAGCGAGAGTGTGTGTGTTTCTATCTAGAGGAAGATAACGAATCCTTATTGGACATCACGCTTTCTTATCTGCAATCACAATCTCTCTTTTCTTTTTTCTTAATTTAACTTTTTTCAGTGTTTGTCTTTTCAAAAAACTTCCAACTTTTTTTTCTCTTTAATTTTTTTTATTTTATTTCACATTTTACCTCATGGACCAATTGAATCACCTGTTTTCTTATTTATTATTATGTTTTTTTGTTTTCCGGGGGAGGGTTTGGGGTTAATGACGTGTATTCATTAATGGCACAAGTTGGAAATTCACATAATATATAAGTGGAATGTGCTGAGACGGCGGACAGTTGATCACAGTGAGCCTCTTTTTTTTTTTTTTCTGTTTTCATTCCAAAGCATCAAATATTAATAAGAATGTGCTTTTACAGATTATATATATCCTCTCTGTTATGTGCTATGTGTTTATCATTTGTCTCTTCTGTTCAGTCTGTTTTTTGTTTCCTGTTTTTTTTTCCTCTCTTAAGGCAGAACCGAAATTGTAGCTTCTGTTCTGCAGTTTTTGTCATTTTTGTTAAAATTCCACCTCGAGGGGCCAGCGAACCGAAGTAGGAGAAGAAATAAAATAAAGCGATGCTTGAAATCCAGTGAAAACTTTCTCATGTAGTATAAAGAGGGCGAATTGCAAAATCCACACCTGGGCAGTGTTTCTGCACCAAATTACATCATACTAATATGAATGTAGACTTCAATGCAAAAACAGATAATTAAAAATACTTTTGATCTGAGGCACATGTTCGCTGTTTGCTTGTCTTTATTTTTTTGTAGTTTTGGGGGATTGTGCGACCAAACTTCACACCAACCTAAAAAGAAATGCAATGAATTAGAAAAAGATCAGATGAATTAATTCAGAAGTCACGATGATGTTTGTTTGTTAGAGTTTAGAGAGGTTAAGTCCTAGAAACCTCACAGTCACTTTGCTTTTGGTGGCTTTTCTCATTCTAGTTCACATTTTTGTCCTCTCCATGTAACACTAGGTGTCTTGGATAGTTTAATTTATCCAGAAGTGAGCTTTTTAATTTAGCTGAATCTACATTTTTGGAGCTTCACGAACCTTTAGAGACCCAGTCTGGTGGAAATCTTGTTAACAGTTCTTATTATATCACCAGTGAACTGTGCAGTCGACACCACGTCTGAGCCTTTCTGCCGTTAAACTGCAGCAAACTAATGATAGTCCTAAAACATGAATTCAGGTTTTTATCATTTTATATGAATAACTAACCGGCCCTGCGATGGACTGGTTACCTGTCCAGGGTGTCCCCTGCCTTCGCCCTAAGTAGGCTGGGATAGGCTCCAGCCCCCCCGCGACCCTAATGAGGATAAAGCGGTGTATAGAAAATGGATGGATGGTTGAATAACTAACCTGCTTGGGCATGAACTGCTCCAGTATTACAACCTGCCACCATGTTTTGCCCTGAATAGCTTTACAGTATTGGACCAGAGTAGAGCTGGTGTGCTCGAGGTGCAGCGAGTGAAGCAGGCTGATGGTGTGACACTACATCTAAGTCATTTTAAAGCATGAAGGGATTATTGTAATGGAAAGAAATTCTGTAAACCTGCTACACATGGGGGAGTATTTAGGGTTTAATTAACAACCAGAGAGGGACGTTGAAGGCTGAACACATGACCATCCTCACAGGAAGACGTCTGAGCTAACATAAGATTTACTTTACTGGTGTCGTAGTGGTCAAACCCTGCATGTTATTCACTCTCATGTTATTTTCCCCCACATATAATCGTAGATATCATCTCTAAAGCTTTAACCGGTTAATTCTGTGCCTCCTTCAGCTGCTTCTGTCGTTTGTGATCAAAAATTGGTTTTACTGATAATTTTTCATGGGACAGAAAGAAGCACTGGGTTCTTTAATAAGTTGTAAACTGGAACATAGAACCAACATGTGACATATTTAACTTCTAAGACCTGAGCTCTTGTTTGGTATGCATTTTTTAAATGACCCATGACCCTAGTGAGGATTAAGGTGTAGAGACGATGGATGGATGGTTGATCTAATTAAATAGCAGAGGAAAAAAATAAATAAAGCAAATACAAATATGTTAAATATATATATATATAATATTTTTGGAAACACAGATATTTGCTGTTATTTTTAGTTTTTGCTGTTTTTGAACATCACAATATTCCTCTGGGTTTTTTTTGTTTTTTTTTTAAACATATAATGCCAGATTCTCACCATATTTTATTTGTACAATCATTTTATTAGTGCTAGTTTTTGTTTGTTGTTTTTGACAGTTCGGCTAATTTCCAATTTCTACATATTTTGCAAGCTAACTCGTTTTGGAGCAGCGGCATCTCGAAGAGTCTGTTAAAACTGGTCAGCCATGTTGGTAAAATTACAACATAACAGAAAGTNCATGTGGACACCAGGTCTTAAGAGGTTAAGCTTCTATTTAGAATCTCTCTTAACGGCGCTGATGTGTTTCAGACTCACTCCTCTAACTGTATGTTTTTAAATAAGTAAGAAAGAAACGACAGTTCACTAGTTCATCCATCACAGACAGACAAACCACACACACTCACACATTCGGCTGATTTAGAATCAGGAGAAGCATTATTAAATGAAACGCACACTCCAGCATCACGATGAGATACAGCTTTATTTCAAAGGTCACGTCAGCCCATCAACAGCTCGACAGTAATCATCCGATCACACTAGACTCCCCTCCTCTGGCTTTGAACACAAAACTGTAGCCCATCATACGCTCTATACAAAATGAATTACAAAAGGAGAAGGTGAAAAACAAAACAAGACAAAAAGAAACAGAAAATGAGCTCATCCACTCAAACTCTGGTCGCTCTCCAGGCTCCTAGAATCCTAGCGTCTAGCATCACACTAGCCTTAGCAGTAGCAGAGAGAGCTGGAGGACAGAGGAGGAGACAGAAAAGGAGGCTTAAGGGGAAATTTGTGTCTCTCTGATGGTAAATAGACCCTGGTAAGCGAAATCAGTGAAACAAGTAATAAAAACGACACAAGTTGCTTCCCCTCTTATATACAAAGGTCTGAGTAGGAACTGCAGGCACAGTCATCGATGCTACAGTGTTCACATGCAGAGTGTCTGCCGTGCGGACGCAGATGTCCTGGAGAGACTCATCTCGTCATCTCTCGAGCACTTCTGCTTCCACTGCCAATAGAAAAATGAAGTGTATGTGGTTTTGGGGAAGGGGAAAGATTAAGAGGAGCCACGATATGTTTGTTTCCACCAGTCCGCTGTGCCGCCTTGAACGCAGCCGTATTGTGACATCTGGTTTGATGTTTTAACAGAAACCAGGGCAGGAAAGGCACTTCAAAGTGTGGATGTCCCTTCGATTTCCTGGCGGTTCTGTTCCTAAGCCGTAAAAAATGAGAAGGTCAGCCGGCCGACTCCCTGTAAAGCTTTGAGTCCTAAAAACAACCAAAGGGGAATCTGGAAGAGGCAGAGGGATGGCGTTAAAGGGTTAACAGCAGGATGAGAGCAGAGACATGAGATCCAGTTTATATTACGGAGCACTGATTCGTGAGAGACTTACAAAGAAAAAAACTTTTTTTTTTCTCCAAGCTGTGCGTTGTGACTTTAGCCCTCGATGGAGACCTCTGGAACGATGTGTCCGTTCATCGCCGCCTCCACCGACAGCTCCTGAAACCAGACGTTAGATCAGATCAGCACGGTGTCACATCGAAACTCTGAACAGCATTCACCTGAATAAGGCTGGAACTTTATCAATATTTATTTAAACCATGTCAACCCCAAGAATCTTTCTCATTTTAGACTCAAACACGTCTTTTCTGCAGAATCACAAAGTTATTCTGCCATCAATCATTAAAAAAAAAGAAAAATGGAAGTTTAAAGCCTCTGATTCTTCTGGTTTTTACACATAAGTTTGGCCATTTTCCAAGCGATACCAGGCCTTTTAAACCCGCCTGCAGGTTCGCAGATCAGAGGATAAAATAACTGGGACAAAAAGTCACACAGGAATTCCTGATATTTATTTATAGGTTTACTTTTTCCTGTTTTCTGTCCTTGAATTGCAGCATCTGAAACTTCCCTCCTGGGTTCAATTATGGCTTTTGTTGAACACGATGATTTTTATTTCAATCAAATTCATTTACCACTGAGCCGAGCTGCACGGACTCGACGGCGAGCTGCATCTGACACGGCATGTCACAGAGTTCTGGTTTAGGTTCCTCTGACAGGATATTCAGACATTTCTGCTCAGTAGCAGCGTCCTGGAAGGAACAGAGAGAAGAGACGGAGGTTAGGAGACAGAAACCCGTAGAAACATTCAGCAGACCTTCATCATCTGGGAGTTCATTATCACACATGTGTTTTAAAAACCGTGTGGAACTGTGAGGACAGCAGCTTACGATGATCATTTCCTCTGCAGGTACAGCGACAGGCTCAGGCTCAGGCTCAGGCTCAGGCTCAGCAGGAGTCACATCCATGGATTCTGTTTGGGTGCTGGGGGGTTCGACGGGGGCCACGATCTCCTAAAATGATCACAGAGGGAAGAATGCATCAGGAAACACTGACTGAGAACAGACACATTAAATTAACATGACGTGAATAACAGAAAACACAATCGTCCTGCTCGTTCCAATTAACGACGGCTGTTTCAGTGCACACAACTGATTAAACTGATTTAATTAAATAAAATGACCCTGGTTTGATAGTTTGGGCTGTAAGGTGGCTCGGTGGTTAGCATCGTTAGCACCTCGCAGCTAGAGCGTCCCGGTGAGAACACCTGGGATCTTTCTGCGTGGAGTCTCCATGTTCTCCCCGTGCAGCGTGGGTTCTCTCCGGGTTCTCCGGCTTCCTCCCACAGTCCAGAAACATGCTGAGGTTAATTGGTGATTGTAAATTGTCCGTAGGTGTGAATGTGAGTGTGCTTGGTTGTCTGTCTCTAAGTGTAGCCCTGTGATAGACTGGTTACCTGTCCAGGTGAACCTGCCTTCACCCTGAGTCAGCTGGGATAGACTCCAGCCCCCCATGACCCTGGTGAGGATGAAGGTGTAGAGATGATGGATGGATGTTCTGACAGTGGATTACTTATACAGTGATACTGCTGCCCTGCTTTTGCTGTAGCACTCTGCCACCTGGTGGCCACAGGCCCTGAGTCACCACTTGATTTATTTACAGCTCAGATCTGTTTCAGCTGGAAGAAAGTGTTACTGAATGGTTTCTGGACTGTGGGAGGAAGCTGGAGAACCCGGAGAGAACCCACGCTGCATGGGGAGAACATGGAGACTCCACGCAGGAAGATCCCGGGAGTGCTATCCACTGAGCCACCTTGCAGCCCGTGTCAATGAAATGCCAAATCTAACAACAACTGCAGTTCTCACCTGCTCGATCGCTGCAGCAGACTCAGCAATGGCAACCTCGACTGCTGAGACAGATTCTGTGACGACAAAGTCATCAACCAGCGTGTCAGCAACAGCCTGGATGACAGGAGGAGACAGAAAGGGTTCCACGCCGTAAGCACTCAGGATTTTAAAGTGAGTAAATGAGACTGTGCGACAGCATAACCATGATTTTATGATGTGCAGATGATCTATTTGACTGCAACTTTAGATTTTACCTCTTTGGTTTCAGTGACGACGGGTTCGGCCTCTTCTACCAGAGCCTCGGGGATGGTGTCCGGCACCTGGTGAGACAACAGGTACTGATGTACTAATGATCCAAAAGTAATGAGAAACATGTAGGAAAATTAGATTTTTTAATGGGGGGAAAGAAAGAAGACTCACCACTGGGACTTCCACAGACTGGACCAGAGCATCCTGATGGAAACAAAACACATACAGGACACAAATGACAACATGTAAGAAAATCTGATGTATCCACTGAGAAGGTTTAACCTTCGTCCACCTGCTTGCTCATCTACTGATAAACACACTTGAACAGGACATGCTGTGCACAAACGATGAATGATCACACAATAGAAGCAGGACATGCATCGTAATACTCTGCACAAAGAGAAAGAAGAGGAGAATATTTTAATCAGGTGGCACCTCTGGCATCGTAACGGGCTCAGCAGGGACTTCAGGTGCATCTTCTTCAACCAGTACTTCTACTTCACCTTCATCGTCTCCCTCCTCCTCCTCCTCCTCCTCAGCTGGAGCTGCAGGACTGACGACTGCTTCAGTCACTTGTTCGGGCTCAGGTACCTCTGAGATTACTTCCACTACTGATTCAGCGACAGTCTCTGTAACCACCTCGTCTGCAACGGCATCGGCTTCGGCTTCAGCGGGCTCTGGTTCGCTGCTGATCACTTCCACCGCCGGTTCTTCGGTTATTTCTATTTCAGGCTCCGGTATGACGATATCTTCTGGGATCACCACCTCCACCTCGGTCACAGTGTCTTCCTCCGCCACGGCCTCAGCCTCCACGGCTTCAGCCTCTGCCACGGCCTCAGCCTCCACTTCAGTCTCTGGCTCACACACGTCAAACGTCTGCACATGCAAGATGGACACGGCACACGGTAAGAACACCATGCAACATGCAGCTGGACGATGAAAAACTTGCCCATAAGATTATTGAATGTCAGGTTTTTTTCTCTCCCTGGGCAACATGTCACACGACACAATCACACGTACTGAACATGCATTACCAAAACATCTGCATTTATAATTATAAGACCATAAACTCTTACCTGTTCAGTCTCTGTCTGTATAACTGTCGTGTCAACTGTCTGAATCTGTTGGAGAGCGACAAATAACACAGCTCAGAGCAGAACGACAGGATAAAGTGATCAAACGATGGATAACAGAATGAAAGCGATGGGTGTTCCCTCTTAAGCGGAGCACAAAGCTTCAAGCAGTCTTATGATCATATTTAAATGAGGATGTGGATTAGCTGCCTAATAGCCGCTTTCATGCTAATTACAGTGCCTCATAAAAACTCTTAATACCTGCAATTTTCTGCTTTTTTATTCTGTCTTGCTGCGTAAAACACATCAGTGGAATCCTTTCTGCACCGAGCAGCTCACAGATTAATGAAGAAAAGCTTCATTCTTAGTCGTTTTTTTCACGTAAACGTTTCGAGTAGCTGAACCAGATTGTGATCTGTGTTATATAAGAGAAAGAGACTCGAGGCACAGCGTTATTCATGAAGTGTGAAGCCGAGCTCACGGGAATTTTTCAGCGCTTTTCTATTGAAAGGATTGTCTCCTGTCCAGCTGCTGCAGCTATGAACTTATAAAACGTGACTGGAAACTCTGTGTCGCTCTGTTTTACTGCATGCTGTCATTTCCGGGACAGTTCTGGTGTAAGAAAAAGCATTACACAGACAAAATGTTGTACATTTTTAAAGAGCAAATGGCAACTAATTAATGAGACCAGTGATTTTTCGTCACTTTATTTGATTCAAAAAAGGTGAATGGAGCAGGACAGCTGTTGTTTTGTGGCGTTAATTATTTAAAGCGTTGTTTTTAAACCGAAAGAAGTTTGCAGAGAAACTTGTAATTTGACAAGTGACTCCTCAAGGTTCAGCTATGTTGTTCTGCAGCAAATGGGGCCTCTTCAAGGGGCCTGAAGTTGTGCAAGCTTGTCAAAAAGCAGCTTGTGTCGTGTTGAGTTATGCTCCAGTCATTCACACCTGTCTAATCTACCTGTCAGCTACGCCCTCAAATATATACTGCTCAGTCACAGTAAAGGTGGTTTCTGTGCATAAAAGTTTGTTTTACCTCCGTCTCAGCAGGAACAACCACTGGAACCTCAGCGGGGGGTATGACCTACGATGGAAAAAGGGAGACGAGTTAATTCGCACATAGGCAAAACAATTATAAGGCAGAGCACGGATTTAATAAAACAGTTGGTAAAAAGTCATCTCGTTTAATAAAGGCACACACTAACAAGCCTCTTAGGCGGTTAAATATACCTGCCTCATGTTACACTGCAGGCTTGTTTTCTGACTTTTTAAAGGCCAAGCTTTGGAGGGGCGCACACGGCAGCCTGAAAAATGAGCCCAGAGCAAAATGATCTTCAGCACAACCGTTTGTTAGCCAAACTGGAGCTGCCTGCAGGCACTTCACAGAGAAACCGCAGCGAGAGTCTGAGCAGGTTCGCCGAAATTAGAACGTTTTCACATCGTAAATATGGACTTAGAGTCTAACAGCACAAGCGCACACTGCTTGCAGTTGTGCAGAAACGGAAAGGACAACAATCACCAGTGGTACGAGTAAATGAACAGCGGTTATTTGTTACGCCTTCTCCTCAGCGCCTCAGTATGATGAAGACATACATCATTAAATCTGTCCTTGCTACCACTTTCTTTCTCCACAAAACCCACACAAATGTAAAACTCCCACATCTTTAATTGCATCTTTTATTATCTGTTCATGATGCTGCCAGTTATAAAGACAAACCTTTGTGCTGCTGACACGCCTTTGACCAAGTCATTACATATTCACCACAATGTGAGGACATGCTGTTGGCACTGCTTTAGGATCATTTTTTTAATAAGTATTTGATTACAGTATTGTTCCAATTACTGCCAGAGGTGTTGAATTTCCTGAGAATGGTTCCAAAAACACTCCGATGATGTTGAAAGTCCCCCACATTTAACCACAAATCCAGCGTTGGCGCAGCGTGCAGCCTAAGTGGCCGCTGGCTTCGCCCACTGTGCAGCCGAGTGAGCTGAGCCAAAGTGGCATTTGCACGGGGCACCGCATAAATATTGTAAGTCTTCATCGTCCGACAGTAAATTATTTATGCTGTCTTGTGCCAGTTCTGCTTCGATGTAGGACAAGTCTGCTGCTTGCATGCTGCTTCTGAGACTCACTCGTTGGCCAGAATCATCGAAACGGAGCAAAACAAATGCTCACGTTGCTTGACCACCTCCACCTCCACCTCCACCTCCACCTCTGTGCGGTGCTGCTGGGAGGCTCCCTGCCCTCTGGGAGTTTAACAAGTTGTGAACAAAGGGCCAAGTGGGCAAATATGCACGTATAGTTGAGAAGGGTAAATATAAACTCCAGCTATGGCCTCGGAGGGATGGTATAGGGGAGAGAGAGGAGGAGGGAAGGAAAGCGGGAGCGAGGTGGGCTATAGGCCTTCCTATACACACAGCGTACACACCCCCCTCCAGCTTGTCCAAGCACCAGAACACTGTGTACCAAACTGATCTGCATACAGATCCAGCATCACCAGTCCAATGAAAAGGCAAATTCAGCACAAATCGAATCTGATCTGGGGGCAGCTGCCTTCCAAACAGATCGTTTAACCCAAAGGACACGGTGTACTCAACTCTGTGTTCAAATCGTCACACATGAACGCACACACACAAACACTCGCACATATTCTCATTTTGGAAGGTTTTTTTTTCAGGACGACTACCAAATGATGCTGTCTTCCATCACGATATGCCAAGAAAAGTAAATAAAAAGGGCTTTGTGGACTGTAAAGAGAAGCTGTCAAAGTGATGTCAAGCAAACAGTAAAACACAGAGGAGGGTGTTTTGCCAGTTCTCTGTGCAAAAGTCAACGGCTGGGCTAACAATGCTCAATAGCGTCTTAGAAAACAAACCTATAAAAGTTGCCAGGAAATGTGGGGAGGGCTGCATGTGTGGACGAAGGTCTGACACTGGGGGGGGAGGAGGGTTAGGGGTCCTAACCTCACGTGTTCTGCCACAAGCTGCTCATTTTTCCAGCTAAGTCCATAAAAGTGTCAAGTCACATTTTTTTTGTTTGTGCTATTTTCTCTCTTTCTCTGGCCGTCACGTCAAATCTGACAAAAGAAAAAGTGCGTCGCCATCATTCGGAGGCACGTTGTAATTAGCGCTTCCACTGAAAGCAAATGAACCCCGAGACATCCCTTCGCTGGAAATTTGTCACAGACTTTAAAAAGGTTGTGACAGCTGTCTGCTTAAGCTATTCTTCAGCGCTCAAATACCAAAGGCTCGGCTACACACATGCACAGATACACACTTCAACAGGCACCCCTTCACCTCCCAACATGGAGCTAAATATTCCACCTTCCCCCAACACTGTCTCCTCCCAGCACCCCCAGCAAAGAACCAATGGTACAAAGGACGACGCGAAGATGAGCAAGTGCACGTGGTGGGCGCAAGAAGCCAACGAGGCCTTCATGCGCTGTCATAGGACAGGAATGGACGAGAGGGCTGGGGGAGGATGGAGAGAGTGAAGGAGTGAGGAAGAAGAGACAAGGAGGAAGTGGTGGGAGGGAAGGAAGGGTGTCGAGGGAGAGCAAATTTACAAGGGAAAGAGGGTTAATGAACAGAAGGGGGGCAGGAGTAGGAGGAGTGGCTGTAGGAGTAGCGTGGTGGGGGGGGGGGGGGGGGGGGACGCAAAAGGGTACAAAATGTTCAGCCTCACCAGGAGCCGCACCCACCATCGCTCCAGGCCACGCAAAAACCAAACACACTCAGCGGGTCTGTGGGTTGAGTGGCGGGTTTATACTCACCTGAGCCTCCGTGGCGACATCCAGGAGCAGCGGGGCCTCTTTTTGGCCCCAAAGCCAGCTGAACACGAGCCCCATTTATGCCTGATCTGATTCTACAATCTACCAGCAAAGTGACCAAACGGCGGCTCGCACAGGGTCAAGTGCAGGACGGAGGCTTCGATGAGGCTCAGTGGAATAGCTTGCAAAGTCTCTCAAAAAGTTAATAAATAGATCAAGTAAAAACTGACTTGCACCACATATGAATATATATAAAGAAACTGCTACAGTATGTGTTTGCAGCTACGGTCAGCGTGGACGAGTGTTCAGCCTCACGAGTGTCTGCGTGTTCAGTTTCTGTGCATCTGAGCTGAATCGGGCACATCTGCAAGCAGTGAAGGAGCCGAGAGAAAGAGAGGAAGGAGAGGAGGAAAAGGAGAGGTGGGTGGGGTGGGAGAGGGGAGGAGGAGGAGGAGGAGGGAGGCGAAGGGACAGAGGGGGGAGGATACCGCCACAGCGTACAACTACATAATGACGGGCTGCCCATCTCCTATAGAAACCTCCTTATGGACCCCGTGTAGCTCCGCGGGTAGAGTCTAAGCCTTATGGGTTAAAGGTGACGAGCCAAACCTCCAAAGGAAGTGACAAACAAGTGAACTGGACGAGATGACCCAAGAGACACCGGAGAGCGCTGACCGCGGCGCTAATAGCATCTCCTCTCGTAAAAGGCTCGGGTGCCATCCTGAGCTCACGTGCGCGCTAACACACAAGTGAGAGCGTGCTCCATATGTGGTCGTGGCTCAGTTATTGGGAAACGAGACCATGACTCAAGTGTGTGTGTGTGTGTGCCCTGAGTTCAGACACACAGGTTGTACATGTATGTGCAGTTTACTGGCCAAAAGAGAACATTCTGTTCCCAGCGTGTACGCATGACGGCTGCATGGCACAAAGCTCACGTGACCACAGTCGCTCAGCTCGCAGGATTTACAGATTTGGAGGATAAAAACAACGTTGGGCCGCGTTATTATTTAGTGAATTGCTTTTTTTAAATTATAAACTAAGCTCTGTGTAAAGTAAACATGTGTATAGATTTAGAATTTGTGCAAAACAGAGGACACAACAAAACCAACACTGATGGCAGCATGTTTTACCAAAGCGGCACACGTGTGATAGAGCGTATTAAATCTAAACTACCTTTTCTTCTAAAACAACAGCAAAAACTTCATCCCATTACACGCAAACAGCTCTTACGTTCCAATATATTCTCTCTTACTGCGTTCAAAAGAAGCAAGACTTTAAAGACAAGCACGTGCTGCGAGACGTTTAAATGTAGGTGGTAATGTATAATGTATGCTGAGAAAGTCTCCCACTGATGTAGCCTTCAATCTCTCCCCTGCTCTCCACCTCTGAGCTAAATGGAACATGTTGTTCCCTCTGCTTCACACCGATTCCGCCTCCCTTCTCCCATAAGGAGCAGGCCACAGCAAACACAGTTTGACCTAAAGCCGTCTAAACTGGTCCCAACGCAAACTCACGCTGACAAACTCCGTCTCTTCCCTGAAAACCAGAGGCTATATGGAACCCGGCCGAGCTAATTTAAAATGTGAAACGCTGAACCCGACACAGCAGTCGTTGAGAAGAAACCAGCTTGATGGGATGTAAGAAAAGGTCAGAGGTGACTCCTAAAGCTAACAGAGGAACCAAAGCATCTGTGTGTTTCGCAATAAGGCTCCAATGACTGAGGATAGAATCTCTATTTGAGTCAGCACTCAACATTAACGATGGTTTAATAAAAAAGATTCTCACCTCAGGTACTGGTTCTGTTTCGGGAATGACGGCTTCGACCTCCTGTTCTACAGCGGCTTCGACTGCAGGAGGCTCCACTGGTGGAATCTCCACGACTGGTGCTTCTTCGACGACTGGTGCTTCTTCAACGACTGGTGCTTCTTCGACGACTGGTGCTTCTTCGACTGGTGCTTCTTCGACTGGTGCTTCTTCGATGACGGGTGCTTCTTCGATGACGGGCGCTGGGACTTCAATCTCAACTACTGCTGGAGTCTGTTCCACCAAAACAGGCTCAGGTTCTGGTGCCGGTACCGCAACAGGGACGGGTTCTGCGACAGGTTCTTTCACAACTGGTTTTGGTTCTACTTTAGGGGTCTCCACAACGGGCACAGCGACAGGAACGACCTCTGGGATCTTTTGCGGGGCTGGTGCTGGAGTTTTAGCCGCTTTCTTTTGGGTCGCTGCAGGGGGCGCAAGAACTGCGATGCCGGGACCGGCTTTGATCGGCGGGTTGCCGGCATGCTGCTCTTCAAGGAATCTCCTGTGGGCCGCCTGCAAAGGTGGAAAGACACAAAAACATCTGGGTTAGTGATTGTGGTTCTGTCATTGAGTGGGAGGAACCACTTCAGTTTATTTGAATGCATTCATCATGCAGCTGTGACTCGACACATTAACTGGCACTAGTTTACTGTAACTTGAATTTATCCTCCCTCTCAAGTGACTGATCCTTAAAACTTGGGGGGAAAGGGCAAAAAAATGAGGATACTTACACGAATAAAGTGACACTTAAGTTATAGTTGCCCCCAAAAGTTGTTGAAAATGTCAGAGGATGAAGATAAAATGCAAAGAAATGGAGACGAATGTGAGTTTAAGAGGTGAGAAAGCTACGGAGGCCTATACTGTGTCCAGATACTGATGTTGTTGTCAGGCTGTGGCTCATTCTAGCACACTTCTCTCAGCAGGAATACCAGACATGCCATCCCAGCCAGGTCCAAAATGTTTTTCAGCTCTGGACAAAACCCCCTCAGGCTTTAATGGAGGTTTTAGGGAGTGCAGACTGCTGGAGGGAGGGGTATAACTGGGAGTGGGCCCAACAAAGCTAGTTAGATAATGGGAGCTAATTAGTTGAATCAGAGCGGTCCTGACAGGTCTGGTGAAGCGGGAACGGAAACCATGCGAGTCAGCAGCACTGATGGGCGCCCCGCGGGCCAGACAGTGGGCCTAATCACATCATAATCAGGTTATAATCAGGTTACAATCACTCCCCGAAAATGCTTTTGTTAGGCCGACAGCCAGTTAGGCATTCGCAGTGTTGGACCAGTGCTGTAAGCCAGCAGAGCATGGGTGTGTAGGAGCGTATGTCCAGTTAGCTGCCGTCAAAACAACCCCTCCCTCATCTTTGCAAATGAATAGCTTGATATGTCAAAACTCAAACCTCACGACCACAGAGTAACAAATCAATGTCAAGTCATTTTCTGTGCTCCTCGGGCTGCATGGAACACACACGGAAAGGCATGTGTGGCCAAATAGGTGCACTCAGCGAGACGTCTTCAAGTGTCCTTTCTCTTCCCGGGCTCTGATATCGCTGAGAGAAGCGGTGATAACACAGAGCCGTGAATGACTTCAGGGGGCCATTTTTATCTGAGTGTCAGTGGCAGACGCTGAGAGAATGAGGGAGACTGTGCAGACTCCAATCTGGCAAAACTAATGCAAGACATTCCTCTAGTCAACACATTACCAAATACAGTTGTGGTGCTGAGAGGCACAGGCTGGCCGGTCAGCCAGAGGCTTACAGACGGAGCTGGGGGGGAGTTTAGTGGGGGAATGCCACAAGAAGTCCATACTGAGAAGTCTTGGCAGAGCAAGAGGACTGAGGCTTCAAGTCATCCTTCTTTAGTGGTGATCTTTGTTTTGTTTTTTTAAAAGTTAAACAACATTTGAAAGGTTGAATCATTATGACTGGGAATGAAATCCCAGAGAGCAGCGTTGGGTGATGGAGTAACCCATGGCCTTTGAGAAACTGGAGCTTCTGTGTTACTTTCTCACTCTTCGTACACCCCTCCCCTCTCAGCCACACCCTCCCCTTCTTTTTCGGGCACTGAATGTTCAAAAGTTAAAAATTTCTTCGAGTTGCGTAAGAAACGTGGGGAGGGGGAAGGTGTCACTTATGTCAATTATGTTGACATTGACGATGATGTTTCAATATATTGAATTATGTAAGAAGCATAGCAGCGTTTCATTACTGTGCTGCATTGAGCTGCACTACACGTGTGCTGAATGTTTTGGTCGCAAGCTTAATAAATATTCGTATATGTAATAAAAGGTGGCACGTTTCACGACAGCAAACAACGGAAATATGTAAACGTGGAGTCTCCAGAGCGCACGGAGAGAGCGCATGGCGCACAGGAGTTAAGCCAAGAAGATAACAAATTCTCCATCTCTTGTATCTAATAATAATCCCAGAAGCATCCAAAACGCAGTGCTACTATAAAAAAAAATATTTGTGTGATTTCAACATAGTTCGTTTAGGATTTTATTATTTTATAATTATTTTCGAGATTTTACGCACGGATCGTGGAGCGTTCCTCTCCACTCAGCAGACACGCAGAATGTAAGAATGAGTCAAATAAGTGTTGGATTGAATTTCAGTAAACTCAAATCGATGTGCAGGGGATTTAAACTCACGTTGAGGATCTTAATTCTCAAACATGTATTCTGCATCAGGCAATATCAGCAGCATTTTTTTTTAAAATTTTAGTTATGGTTCAGTTAACGAAAAGCCAAGATTGGGGGTTTTTTTGGAGGAAAAAGGAGGGAAGAGACGCACGGAGTTAAAACAACCACTTGCATTTTAAACGCACACTTTGGATGTATGATGAGAATAAACACCGAGTGGGATGAAGAAGAAAGCGCGCCTGCCACCACTTACCGCCCTCCTCAAGCGACGCCTGTTCTTCTTAAATCTGCTGGGCATGTTGGTGTGTGCTGGTGGAAAAAACAAGACAGAAGAAAAGAAAAACGATGAAATGGAACGAGCATCGAGGCAGAGCGAACCCGGTGGATGTTTATAAAGCCCCCGGTCTTTCTGTTACCTTTGCGCAGAGCCTATGGGAGCACCGGGATGGGGGACGGGGGGCGTGGAGAGGCAGAGAGCGAGAGACAAATACTCTCACCCCACCTAACTCACATGCACGTGCGCGGCAGCCCAGTGAGATGGTTGGATGAGAGATGGTCTACCTACCGACTGGATGGTGGGCTGAATTATGTAAGCCCTCCATCACAACCGGAGAGAGAAAGAGAGCGACACACCCCCTTCTGTGGTGGAGGCAGAAATACTGCGTTGACGCACATGGCAGCGACGCGGCACATGCTTTAGTAAATAGTTTTCTCCTTCACTTTTCTCTTTTCTGAGGAGTTTTTGTTAGTTTTCTAACACAACAGAAAACATGCTTCAACTCTGGGCTTGAGAGAACCAGAAGAAAACACACAGGCGGTGCTGCAGAGAAAACACTGTGTGCCTCTGTCAGCTTTCAGTGAATGCATTAAAAATCATGAAGCCAAAGCATAGTTTTCATTGTCTGCGTCTCATGTTGAGAATAAAAAAAGAAAGAAAGCTTTTACATGTGTGTGTGCCCACCCACCCCCTCTGTGCTGCATCTCTTGTGAGCAGCCATTGTCTACAGCTCCTTGTGTACATGCATATTTATAAGAGCAACAAATGTGTGGTTTTTTCATCCCCAACAAGAAACCCTGATGCATGTAAACATGTTGGTTTACTTCCCCTGTACAGTTAGTTGTACAGTCAGGTAGAGGTGTGAGATAGGTGTTTAGCTGTTGCACATACACGCTGGTTTGACGTTACACAATGTGGCAGTGTCGCCCGAAGGCCTGCGACTTGATTTACTCCTGAACAGTCAGCGAGTGCATATGGATTACAGGCATGCGGGGCCTCCACATGTCGCCCCGCACGTTGATGCTCAACTGGTGATCTTTTCACTCTAGTAACTGCAACAACAAGAAAACGTCAGCAGGACACACAGCAGCTGCAGGAGCTGAGTTACCGACATGTTCTTCTTCGTGACCTTTTAGCTTCTGGGGCCACCGTCGCCAAAAGTCCCCAGAGAGGAAATCATGAAATGTGAAATCTTCAGGTGTGACTGAGGGCGTTTTACAGAATCTAGACATGTTGCACAGTTGCTGATGCAGTTTGTAAGGTTTATGTTTTCATTGTGGTTGACAGAATTTGTTGTTGTTGCTGTAAAAACGTTCTGAGAAAGCTTCCAGTCTGAAGTTATTTTAGTTCCCAGAATGTTCTTCTTGAAGGCAATGTTCGTTAAACAGTTTCCCGAATGTTGCACTGAGAACATCCTTCAATTGTTTTATAGAAGAACGTTCTCAGCAGCGACATTCCTCAGAACACTGCCGGCAGAATGTTCTACCTTTGTTAAAATGCCACATTACAGGAACGTTTTATTAACAAAAAACATCTGTCTTCTGAGGCCTCGAGAACGTCTTGAGAAGATTTTGGCAGTAGATGATCCTCAGCTACTCTACTATGAGCCTAGATGATAAAAAGAAAAGAAAAGTTGCCAGTCACTAAATAAAAACACAGTCCAAACACAAGCTAAAAACAATAAACTCACATATATGTTTTGTTATTCCCTACCTTTTATAGCAGGTTTCAGTTTTGTGCTTTGAACTTTGTCGGAGTTAAAGATGATCTTAAAATATACATTTTTTTCTGCTTTTGGAGTTTTGGCAGCCACATGTTCCTCTATCAGCTGAATGGTTAAATTAATCTTATTTAAAACTCCATTTGGGTTCATGGTTAGTTCATAGCTTTGTGGTCTTTAATTGACTATTTTACTATTTTTCATTAAATTCATAGAATGTCCAGCATGTTATGATGCTTTAGTTGGAAAGCTGCTGAGAATTCAGTGAGGAGTTTTTGAGGAGTATTAAATCTAGTTCTTGGACAAAGTAGGAAAATATGACCAGCGCATGTTGTTGTATTTGTTTCCTCACTTTTATTGCAATTTGCCACGTATTTAATTCACGATGAAGCTAGCATGCTATTATTCAACTTCTTATTTCTATATAGGAGAGAAACAACGACAGAAAAATAAAGTGTTTAAGTGAAATGATTGGTGTGATGGTGGCATTCGGTGAAAACTCACGTCATCAACTATTCAGCTAATAATTAATATTTCTTTCATATTTATCAGAAATGGACCCAATTGTTGTCAAAACATTTCTCAGTTTGTATAAACTAACCCCACATTGGTGCACGAAGGACGTCAGACTTTTTGTGTGTTAACAATTTAGGGATTATCCGTGTGTCCGGTCAAGTGTGTGTCTGTGTTTGAGGAGGTTTTGGTTACACAACAACAGTCAGGCTGTATCACTGTCACACAGAGGCAGATGCCACATACTCTACATGTCTCTGTCCACTTGATTTACCTTCTGACTTTTGCAATCGTACGAAGATTTTGCGCTTTATCACATGTCGGCTCGAACCGCCGCTGAGATGTGACTCAATCCCAGAGTCATTTTCTGACATGCAGCTGGCAGCTCGTTTATCGTGACTGTTTGTAAAGTGGATGTAAAGCTGCTCTGTCCTTTCCCAGCAAACGTTAGGCATGTGTTACAGAATCAGTAGTTTGCGGCCTGTTGTTCTGGTGGGATGCGTTTCACAGAGAAGATCGATCAGCAGCAGAGAAAAATGAACAGGTTTTGCAGCTTTGTTTTGCTGTTTTGAGCATGAAATGGTTTTGATGCTGATGGGTGATGCAGTAATGAGTTGTTTGTCCCATTAATCACCTGTCATAGTTCAGGTTTCCTGCCTCGGGCGCTTAAACACATCATCACTGTGACTATTCTTTAAAGAAATACTACAAAAAGAAGTTGTTTTTTTAATTTGACCATCATATTTTTAAAAGATAAAAGTCAACGATTTTGCCTGAATATTTAAGGAGCTTAACCGATGTTTGGTTTGTCTTTTTGTCGGTTATCACACACCCCGAGCGTGTGTGAACGTGTGTCACACAAAAATTCAGAGCACAGTAAGTTCAGCAGGTTGGTGGGGTCGTATAGCTCAAGGGTTCTGCTGCACATTCAAACAAACGCAGCAGAGGAGGCTAACCTGGATGCTTTCGAAGTTTTGATGTTTAAAAAAAGGGATAGGCGCATCACAGCCAGCTGTCACCCTGGAGCAAAGCTTTATCACGTTAGGACTAAATGAAGCTCAGCTAAATGTGTTTGGAGGTTAAACGCGACATTGTCCGACTGAAAAACCTCCTCTGTCTCCTGCCTGCAGCTCATTGTTCTCATTTTACTGTCGAAAACGCAGAAATAAGGGCCTCTAATCAGCAAATCCGTAAATATCGTTATGAAAGATGGTTATTTTAACAATGAGCCAGTCTTTAGCTAATGTGTTTACATAGTGCACATAAAGATAGATAGATAGATAGATAGATAGATAGATAGAT